CAGATGGCGTTCAACGAGTGCCCCCGCGCCCGCCAGCGCACTGACCGCCAGGCGCTGCTGCAGCATATTCGCAGCAAGACACCGGAGCCGCCAGAACAGACGCAGGAACAACGCCGCAGCGCCATCATCTTCGTCGACATCTTCCAGGAGGCGGCCATGCCGCAGTTCTCATGGTCGACATTATCGCCGGCATCTAGAGGAATCGCACCCCTTCGCAGGGGAGTCTCACCCCGTCACATCACGGCGAAACTGCGCTGGTAACGGTTCAGGAACTACGGGCAGACAGCCCCGCACGATCCGATCGATCATGCGATGCGCTGTCATCTGCAGCGGGAGACATGCGTCAGAGTGATGTGGAACGGTAGTCGGACCCGCTGCACCAAGGGGGGCCATGAGCAACCGCAGCAGGCGTCCAGGCGGCGGCCTCTCGACGTGGCGCGCCGGGACCGACAGGCGACCCGCGCGGAGACGCACCCCTGTGCCGATTTAGCAGTGCGCGCACACTTTGGCTCAGTTTCTACTGCCGCGTCCGATCCAAGAGCCGACTTGGCGCGGCGGTCGATTGATTTGAGCGGAGATTGCAGCGGGCCAGGGATCGCATTCGGTCAGGCGTTTGGCTGGAATACGCGCCGCGCGCGCGGCGCCAGCGCAGCCGCGTGGTCCGCCAGCGCTGGCGCCGACGCCCCATCGGCACGCGCGCACGGACCAAAAGCCTGCGGGAACGCATTTCCCCAGCAGCCCACCTCGAGGAGAACGCGTGGACGCGCGCGTGGCGGGGCGCCAGGTCTGGGAAGCCACCGCGCGACGACTACCACGCGCTGCGGAGGCCCAGCGGCAACGTTATGATGGCCATCCCATGAAGTGAAAGATTCCTTGGGGCTTAGAGCTAAGGGTCTACGGCGCAGGGCTTGGAGTTCAGAGCTCAGGGCTTGAAGTTCTGGGCGCGGGCGTTTGAGGTGGGTGTCCGGGCTGACTGTTCATGCTTATGGTCGGGGTGGTATGTTTTTTTTGTTTGTCTTTGGGGCTTACGGCGCACTGCTTTGGGCATGGGGTCTACGCTCAGGGCCTAGGGTTTATGGGGTCAGGCATTGGACCTAGGGCTCGGTGTCTTAGGGGTTTAGAGTTTTGGGTTTAGGGCTTCAGTGTCTGGGTTTGGGCCTTCGGGCAAGGGCATTGGGGCGGGGGGCGGCGGGGTTGGGATGGAGGCGGTGAGGTTCAGAGTGGGGCATTCGGGTTGGGCGGGGGTAGGTTTGCAGGGCGAGGGCGCCAGGGTGGAGGGATCAGTTTCTGGGCGTCGGGCCGCGGAACTTCGGGCGGTAGTGCTATAGCTTAGGGATTAGAGCCGAGGGGTTGTGGAATAGGGCTTCGGGCCGAGGTGCTCCGGGAGGGCTTTGGAACGAGGGCGCCAGGTCTTGAAGCTCGTGATTCGGCTGGGGCGCTGGGCCTGTGGATTAGGTCTGATGGCTTAAGGCTAAAGGCGCGCGGCCTGGGGCACAGGGCCCGCTGGCCACGCCTTGGACCCAAGGATTTGGGCTCACGACCTGCGGCGTAGGGCCCCAGGCTCAGGGCGAATGGCTTGTGCTGTAGGGCATGAGGATTAAGGCCAAAGGCTGTCGGCTTGAGCTTTGGGCGACAGGGATCGGGCAGGGCGTTGGGGGGTAGGGTGTTAGGGCGATGGCGGCGCGGCCAGGGTCTGGGCTGTGGGGTTCGGAGCGGTGTGTTTGAGCTAGGTAGGGGTAGGATTGCTGGAATTGGAGATTAGGGACTCGGGATCAGGGTTTATGGCTGAGGGCTTATGGGCTTAGGGTGGTAGACTTCGGGCAAGGGCGTCAGGTTTAAGGCGCCAGGGTGACGGCTGTAGGGTTAAGGCTTGCGGGGCCGGTTTCCGAGTGATGCGTTAGGGCCTGGCTGGCGGTGGTTGCGGCGCGCGCGCGTGGGGGGGGGGGGCTCGGGTGGTGCGCAGGGTGTCAGGCTTGGGATTTTTCGGGCTAGGCTGGTGCAGGCTCGGGTTAGGGTGTTCGGGTTGTGGTGTCAGTAGAGTTAAGTTTAGGGTTAAGGAGTTAGGGTTAGGGCAGTAAGGTTTGCGGGGGCAGTTTCCGGAGTGACGTTTTAGGGTGCATGTTTTCGCCGTGGGGCGTTATGGCTGGGATTAGGGTGTTAGTGTTTGTGTGGCTTTGTTCGGATTCGATTCTTAGGCTGACTCTTTTTGGGGTTGGGGCGGTAGGATCAGGGTGTTCAGCTCAGGGTGTTATGGTTGGGACCAGGGTGTCTGGGTTTTGGTGTTGGGTCAGGTTGTTACGCTAAGGGTGGTAGGCTTCGGACAAGGTCAGTCGAATTCGGAGTGGGGTGCTAGAGGGCTAGTGGGGTCGGTTGCTAGGGTTTGGGTGTCACGGTTACGGTGGTAGGGTCCGGGTGAGGGCGTTCCGGTTAGGGCGTCAGGGTCAGGGCGTTAGGGATGTAGGGGTATGGGGGGTCGGTCTGAGGCGTTAGCGTGTTATGGTCAGGATGTTAGGGTTTCTGTTAGGGTGGTAGGATTCGGGGGTGAATTTCGGAGTGTCCAAAGGAGGGGGTCCGATTTTCGAATCCAACGAGCGGGGGTTCAAACACCGTCCCCCCGTTTTAAAAGGGGGGGTTTGTGACGGCATCGGGCAAGGTGGGCACGACGGACCGGGGAAAGGGGGGTGAGGGGGTTGTTCCAGACCCCCCCTTGTCTGTCGCATCCAGCAGCGCGTCCTCGCAATAAAACACCAGAACATGAAGTGCGATGGTGTAGCAGAATCGCAAAGACCAGAACATACTCTGACATAGACTAGTACGGAGGCATATTGACATATAGCATCATCTAAGACATTCGGTCACTATTTTCTCCGCTGCCACTTGCTTCATCCGCGTCTTCCGTTGTTTTGGCGAGCGCATCACCCTGTGGGACAAACGCCGAAGGTTTCGTTGGGGACTCGAAGCAAGTCTGCGGCGCGCCTAGGGGTGAATTGAGAAGGAACAGGCCTTTTCAGCAAGCGACTGGGCTTCGCAGGAAACCTCCGGCCAAGCCTCCGGCCTTTGAGAAGGTTTTTTGTGTCTTCGATGAATGTTTAGAAAGCTTTTCGAAATGCCCGAGAACTTCCCAATCTTTAGACAAGGTTTGCCCTTTCTGATTTCCCCCCAGGCTCGCCGGAAAATGAATGCTTTTGCAGCCGGTGCTTCTCGGCCCAGCGTGGCCCAGGGAAGATCATGGAGGGCTGGGGGGCACCGACAGGACGGCGTACGGCGGCCCCAGAATGGCCCCAATTGATTTCCCAAGACAACCCGAACACGGCTCAAGAGGGCTTCCAGATTGGGTTGTTCAAAGATGGGGTCCCGAGGGATTTGGTCCTAATGAGGAGGTGTCTCAAACAACGTAAATCCACCCTTGGACTCCTCCCTGTCCTGAGGGTCCCATCCCTCAGGCCCCATCTTTGAACCGCCGGCAGACAGACAAGCCCCAGACCCGCCCAGGCAGCACCGAGTTGGCCCCGAGAGTCGGAAAGGGCATACACCAACAGGGTGCTATTAGTCGGGCGCGCCCCTGTCGAGGATGGACGCCCCTCCCCATCGTGCGTCCCTGAGCTGGACCCCCGATGACTTGGCAATTTGTTCGGAACGCGGGCCGCGGCGCGAGGGGTCGAAGGCGACTGGCGCCTCGAGCAGCGCTGAGCGCAGCGTAAGGTGACCTAGACCCGAGCGGGGGTCCTCGGCAATCGGTGAATATCACATGAGGAAAAGGCACCGACACGACAGCCTTCCTCCGCTTTCGCCCGCTTGGGCCTCCTGGGAGGCCCTCGCCGCCACGGCCGGAGTCGCCTCGAGAGTGTAGTCAGAGCGCGCCCCGGGAGAGTTCCAAGGAGAGTGCGGCAGGTTCGCGTCGTGTCGACCAGCGGCGACCCCAGCGCGGGCGTTCAAGGTTGAACGCCGGCGGCGACCCAGAATCGGTCGATGTTGAACGATTGGACGTTGCGGGAACGGCCGATCGTTCAAGGTTGAACGATCCACGCGGTGTCAGAAACCAACGCCAGGGTCGTCACGACGCGAACCTCCCGTGACGGTCTTGGTGTCTTTCGGTTCCCCCAGGGTGTGAATGCGTCGGGGCCTTGGGGCCAACACACATCCATGTGCGCCGCCTGCCGAGGCCCACCGCCTCGGAGGCTGTGGCCCAGCCGCTGGTGGTGGCGTCCTCTCGGCCACCTCGTTGACCTCCTCGTTCTCCTCCACCCTCCCTGCCATATTTCTGTTCCCCCCAATCGGAAAGTGCATCCCGTTGTGTTTGCCGCGAATTCTATGATCAAGTCAAGCGCGTCGGCACCATGCCAGTGGCACATTCGTCCAATCTAGACCCCTCCCCGTCTCTCCACTCTCTGCGCATAGATCCCTACGGGAAGCCAGACGTACCAGCGGATGCAAGCAGGCACGCGGGGAGGCAGCCGGCAGTGGCAAACCGACAGCACTCTTGTTTGTGCCTTGGTTCAAGAAGGTGGTTGCTCGGGGCCCACTCAGTTGCAACTCCTGGGAGGTTGAATTCAGCATCGTCGTTGGTAGCTCTGCCGTGGTCCGAAACCGTCCTCATTCGGCCTGAGCCCAGTAAGCTGGTGTACTCCCTCTAAATCGTTTTTCAAATTGAGTTTCATCCATAACATTCTGGCTCAATGGCCCTACTCGGGCCGAGTAGCCCTTACCCGTCTTCGGAAAGAGTGGCCAGGTATTGTGTCCTAACCTTATTGTCCTCGAGGGAAGAAGCGCGCTGACTATGACCAATATCTCCCGAGATCTTGTCGTCGCTGGTCTTGGTCACGGTCCCTGCCGACCGTTGCCGGTTCACGAGGACGACCACGAGTCGACGTTGACCAAGATGGACGGTGACCAAGATCGACACGACGTTTCCGCGTCCAGTCGTTGTCATGGCTCCGTTTTCTTTCTCTTCAATTCGTCTTCTCTCATGATCCCTGAGCCGGCGCAAGAGGGCTCGGGAGGGTGGACGGCTGCGAGAGCCGCAAGCGCCAGTGCCTAAGGCGTCGCCGCCGCCGACAGCAGAAGATGGGAAGGTGCGGGTACGTGCATGCGTACATCATCGACGCGCGAACCATCGAACAAGAACACATGCGTGAACATGATACTAGACAATTCGCGTCGCCCCACCAGCCCATCCAGAATTGACGCACAGGCGGGTTTCCCTGATCCGACATGTGGGGGAGCATGCAGCGGAATGAAGGTTGGGAAGCCGGCATACATCAAGAGGGGGAGGATGGAGAAGGAGCCAGACGAGGAGGAGGAGGAGGGGGAGGGAGAGGAGGGAGGAGGGAGATGGGAGAAAGGAGGAGGTTAGGCAGATGAGGAAGAGGAAGAGGAGGGTGGCGAACAGAAAGGCCAGAGGCCTCTTGGATTATTCTCGGAGTCTTTTCGGATGTCTCTGGATAGCTTCTTGTAGGCCTGTTGGGGCGTCTTGGGGGCCGCTTGGCGGCCCTGGGGGCCTTTTGAAGCCTCTTGGGAGCCTCGGGGAGGCCTCTTGGGAGTCTCTTGGGAGCCTCTTGGGGGCTTCTTTTGGGCATGTTGGGGGCCTCTTGTGGCCTCATGGGCTCCTCCTGTGGCCCTCCTGAGGCACACTTGGGAGCCTAGGCCCCCCTCCCCCCCCTCCTGGGTGCCCAAGATTTGCCAAAATCAATGATTTGGGCCTTCTCTCCGAGGCCATCTTGGACGCTCTAACCCCCCGCGGGCGCCAGAAGTCCAGGAGTATAGGATAGGGGGATGGGTAAACCCCACCCTGGAGGGGAAGAAGGTGGGTTGGAAGAGGACCGCCTCTAAACCACTCACTCCCTTAGGGGCTGGTGGCATTTCGAATATCCGATTGTGGTTCCTCGATGCGTGCGCGCAGACATGATAATTCCGCTTTCCAGTCAACACACGCCCGTCAAAGCTGCTGCGCTGCGCTCTCGTCGGGGGCACTTCGGCGGCCTCGTACGATTTCGAGGACGCGATCACCAGTCAACACACGTCAGTGTGTGCTTCCATGTTCTCTTGTCGAACATGCCAGCTGACTGGTGTGCGTGCGCTCGAGTGTCGTGTTGTGATGATCATCGGGTCAGCAAGAACAGTCGCTTGAGCTAATTTCTGGAGGTCCGTCCGGATTTCTTGGCTCGGCGCTGGACAGCCTGCCCCACCACCCTCTCCCCAGCGCGCGGAGCGAGCCGGAGCGGCGAGGTGAGAGGCGCCGCCCAGGAATGTTCATCCTCCGCCTTCTCCCCTCCTTCCTCAACCCTTTTTGTTGTTCTCTCTGTCTTTTTTTTTTTTGTTCTCTCTCTCTCTCTCTGGGTCGCTGTCCCTCCTCTTGAGCGTTCAACTAGCAACGCAACGCAACTCCCGATCGGCCCGAAGGCCGTGCCAATCTAGAACTCGGGGGGAAAACTTGGCCCGTGCCTCCGGCACCCGGGCAAATGTGCGAACGTCTAACGAGGAATGATTCACGGGCAGGCAGGGGCGGGGAGCGGGGGAGGAGAGGGCGGAGGGAGAAGGGCAGAATGGAAGAAAACTCTCAGATCTCGCTCACGGGGACCTTCACGAGGAACTCCGCGCTGACAGGCACAGATTCAGTCGGTCCACCTCTGAAGCGGTCGGCCTCTATGTCGCGCTCGACTAGGCCGCCAAGCATACGACAGAGAACACCATTGCGACAGATATCCGTGTTCGATTTGTTGGACCAGCAAATCTCTCTGATGGTTGCGCCGGATGCTCCATTCTGTGACTGGCTGTTGCGCTAAGGCCGCCTCCAGCCGGCGCTTCATGCGATGGCCAGTAAGCTGCCATGCTTCCTCCTCCTAACTCCTGCCTTTGAGGTTAGCTCTGACGAGGGTTGTAGTGCGCGTCCGAGGAGAGATTAGGGGGTTTGTCTGAAGGCAGGCTGGGCGAACCGCCAAATCAATCGAGCTATAACTTTTTGGAATCGGGAGGCATGTTAGTTCGCCCTGATCGTCAAAAACAGCTCGGGATGAAAAAGCTTCCGCGGGGAAAGGAGGCATGAGTTCCGCGGGCCCGCGGTTTGAACAACAAGGGGAGGAGGACACATCCACCGAGGGTTTTGGCGCCTCTTGTCCGAGGCAGGGGTTTATTCCTAACCACCGCCTGGGCATCGCTATTCCGGCGCCTCGGTAGGCGGTGGATCTGGATACATCGGGTCCTTGGGGGGGGGTACTAGATCCATATCCAGCGCCTGCCGGGGTCCCCGAAGATCGATCCCGCAGGTGGCGGTCGTGGATCACCCACGCCCCGCATCCTCCTGGTTGGGCCCTTGGACGGCTGGAAGTTCTGGCGCGCTCCAGGACAGGTGAGCGACGCAAAACAACGGGCTCGTCTGTGCCGACATTCTCGCGTAAGCTGCCCGCGTAAGGTCGCGCGTGAACGCCCTCGTCTCCATCGCGCCGTGCCTCGCCAACGTGCCACAAAATAAATTCACCATTTGCGATTCACTTGAGGCTCCTTCTGGTAATGCCTTGCCGCACAAAGTACGTGCGTATACGTGTTCTTGATGGTGAGCAAGGAGAGAAGTGAGAAGGAGCTTGCCTTCTCAGGAGGCGACAGGACTTCTCAGAAACCCTCGCGCCTTCTGCGTCTTCGGGGAAGGCTCAGAGCACTTCTCAGAAGGCCGGGGGTCTTCCGAGCCCTCTGAGAAGGCCTGCCCCTTCTCGCTTCCCCCCTGGACTCGCCGCCGAAACATGTGCGTATACAAACAGTCAATCCGCATAGTAAGGAGGGGCGACTTTCCAAGCTTACCCCTGCATCCTTCTCCTTCGGCCCATCCTCGGCAGCTTTCGCTGGCCGCGCCCCGCTCGCAAAGTGGCGACATGGCCTTCCAAGGCCCTTGCATCCCCGTTGTGCGTCCCTACTGTACGGGTTGACTGTGTGCATCATACGGTCGCGCGCTTGCGCCCCACCCCCCTCCCCTGGATGAGGACCGCCTGCCCCACGGGCCGCGGAGGTTCAAGGCGCGCTTGCGCGTCTGTTCCCTTGTGCGTTGGAGAGCGGGGTCCGCCTCCTCGTCCGCTCGCTGGCTCTTCTTCCAGGGGCAGCGGGGCTCGCACGCGTGAAACTCGTCACGCGTCTCCCCTAGCGAATGTGTCATCATCATCAGCATCCTCATCATCATCACCACCATCTTCATGATCATCCTCGCCATCAGTATCATCATCCTCATCATCATCCTCATCATCATCATCATCATCATCATCATCATCATCATCATCATCATCATCATCATCATATCTGTGCCTTTAGCCGCCGAGTCGCGATGCGCCTAAGCCTGTTCTGTTCCCACACCTACCATAAACTCAGGGCGTCGGTGGTTCACGGAACACCTGCAGACCCTTCGCAGCAACAAGCCGCGGTAGCAGCAGCTGTGCCTTGTGCACGCTTCTGACCAGTAAGCGTGCTAGCGGACTGTTGCCCCTCAGGTACGGTCGATCATCATCATCAGCAGCATCATCATCAGCGTCGTCATCCTCCCCATCGTCTGCATCCTCGGCATCCTCAGCAGCACCATCATCATCACCATCACCACCATCGTCATCATCATCGTAATAAGCATCAGCATCATCATCATCATCAGCATCATCATCATCCGCATCGCCGTCATCATCACCATCGCCAGCACCAACATCATTAGCAGCGTTTTCGTCAACGTGATCATAATGAGCAGCAGTACTGTCATCGCCAGCATGTTCATCATCATCAGAAGCATCGTCATCGTAGTCATCCTCAGCGTCATCATCAGCATCATCATCATCATCATCATCATCATCATCATCATCATCATCATCATCATCATCGCCATCATCCTCATCAACATGACCAGCGTCGTCGTCGTCTTCCTCCTGTTCCTTCAGCGGGACCTCGCACTGATGGAACCCGCGCGGTCCGAGTTCCAAAAGTCTCACGAGGCGGAACTCACACGTGGCGGAGGTCGCTCGCGCGTGGCGGAACGCTTCTGGGCGGAACGCGCTTCAAGGCGCTACTCGAAATTGAGCAACGTCCCAGGAGCCTCGACTCTCGATACCTCTTGATCTCCCTCCCCAAAAAACTCGCCCGGGGAGGTACATAAACGCGGAGATGTCGAAGACGGCCGCGTACAG